TTTATAAGCTATCGATATTTCTCCATATTAAAAAGAGCGAAAGAGGAATTATAAAGAAATCGTAAAAGACAATCAAACAGGCCAGAATTATAATATTTTTATATTGTTAACACTGTTCTATAATATTGACATATAAGTATATTCAAAGTATTTACAATATTATGTCAGAGAGAATGGAAAAATTATCAAAATATATTTTATGTTCGTATAAATACTTAATGTTTTAATGTATTTTTTTTCCATGCACTCTCTATCGTGTAATTCAAATTTATTTTTGCTTTTTCGTTCTAGCTCTTATATCATCTCTTCTAATAATACCTCTCTTATGTAATATCCGCTCTTTATAGCAGTTGAAAATTAAAAGACGTAATGAGCAAGTGAATGGTGCATTAAGTCACAGATGGAAGCAATTACCATTTGTATGTTTATACTATTTCGTTCACGTGCTACGAAGAAGAAATATAAGAATTCTGTTCACTCCGAATATTATGATGTTTTATAATTGACGTTGCATCGATCTGTGTTATGTAATCATGGTATTGATCAGACACCGAAATAGTATAAATTTTTGCACTACACGTTATGATTCGCTCGTGTCAATGTCAGAAAGATCGCTGTGTCCATGACGTGTTTTACACCATGGCTGTGTCTTTTATCTTTCGACGTTCTAGCATCGCGAAGTATATGTCAGTTCTTTGTTGATCGCCATGACGACGGAACTTTCGAAGCTCAATATCCCCAAACAATGTACAGAATGTTTCACAATTTATCGTCTTTTTGTTCATTTATTGTGATTAATTCAAAACTTTTTAAAGTTCTTCAACTTTTTCTTAAAGTTAAATCAAGAAAGATTTAACTTGTCACAGTTTTTTGCATAATCTATTTAAATATTAAATGTCATGACAATTGAGCGTAAAGAATGTATTCCATTAAAGAAAAACGTATTTGGAAAAACAACCGTGATTAATTTAATCTTTTTATATAAAGTAACATCACAAATAATATAAAGTGGTTACGTTAATTAATTAATTACTTATATATATGTATATATATAAGGTGGAAATTATTTTTAATCAGTTATAAAACTAAAAATTATTTTTATTTCAATATTATTAAGAAAGAGATTACAATTATAATAATTCACAAATTAATCATAAAATTCACAAAAAGAGGTAATAATTATAAGACAATCTCATATTACGATTAACAAGCTGTTATATAATATTCTCAGATTTAAATTATTATTATGAAACTTTTTATCATTTAAAGAATTTTCCACAAAGCTGTATCCGAATAAAGCTTTGTGAAAAATTCTTGAAACAAAGTTCTCAACTTGTCAAAAGAGAAAAACATGCAGTATCGAAACGATTCAAAGTATTATTTAGTATCGTGTTGTGAATAGGGAAGCAGAACAGCAGGTGCGCGTGCAGAACATAATAATTATGGGACACGCACGCATGTACGCGAGGGATTTCTGACCATATAGAATTTATGTGTTACGTTTTTATTTAGTAATGTAAAACAAGGGGTAACCACCCTACTTTATATGTACTGTGGATATTAACTGCAACAGACATGAAACAGAAATATTTTATTTATTTAATGTAAACTGTGTAACTATGGAACGGTTTATATATTTATGCACAAAATATGTTTTTTGAAAAATACTAAGTTTTTCTTGATTTTTTTCTTAAGTGCCTTAATCTTTTTAGTACTTAATTAATTTTAGAATGATAGATATTGATGTATATACATATTATGTATGTACGTATATTTTCTAATATATTAATATTTGAAAAATTAGTAATAAAGGGACAGAGATTGAAGAAAAAGATGTGAAAAGATATCTATAGATATACAATAGTTAATAAATTAATAATATTGAATTATATATAAAAATATATATATATATATACTTTTTTATTAACTATTATTTATTTTTCTGTAGGAAAGATATTTAATTATTATTATGAGCGATGAGCGATGTTACAAATGGAAAATTGACTTCTGATGCTATATGAGATACGCCATATAACTATGTATTTATCTGATCTCAAATCAGCATCTTTTGATTATCCACAGGAGGTCGTTCTACCCCTTTATATCCTCGGAGCCTTGATCGTGGTGAAGGTCATGATACCCAATCCAAACTTTCCTGCGATGCTGACGCAGAGGCATGAAGGGGATATATTTGAATTATTCAATGGCTACAAAAATAATACAATCGCTGTGGTGCCCAATTCTACGGAAACTCTTGTGAGTACTAGTCTCTGAAAATTATTTCCAAATCGCTTTAAATAGTTGAATCAAGTACAAATACTTTTATTTTCAAGTATTTAAATGTTCTAGTGTCTTTTTAAATGTTATGTTATATTCCGTACAGCACAAAATTTGCAGCAATATCGCTGCAAAATTTCTGCAATATTGCTGCAACTTTTGTGTAACTTGTACTGTAGGGGATGAAACATGTCTGCATGTATATATATGAATAAAATTAATATATTGTTCATTTTATTTTTTATTAAAAACATATTTTTCACCGAATTGATTTTTATATAATTTTTAAATAAACTCCCTTTTTCTCTGAAATCTAATTGTGTAAAGTTAAGGGTTTAAAACAAAAATCTCAAATTTCATATTTTTCAATAAAAATATAAAATCTTGATTCCCCTCCCCATTTCTTTAAACATCTTATAAGATAATATTTTATCTAGAAATAATTTTTTAACTTCGAATTCATTAAAAATTACACTTCTTTTCGCTAAATATATATAATGTATATTTTTTACAATATCGTAATTTTATCTAAGCATAAACTGCTTTGAGAATTAGTCTCTTTGCCAGATATTTCGAGGTTTCACGATATAAAATTAACGTTGTATTTTCTAGAGCTTCTTAAGCTCCATGAATAGCCTCTGGCTCTCTATGTGGGATTATCCCGGTAAGCTTCCCTTAAACTTCATGGTGTTCGACACGAAGGATGATCTGCAAGCAGCGTATTGGAGAGATCCTTACAGTATACCTCTAGCAGTTATCTTCGAGGACCCCCAGCCGATATCGCAGCGTCTTATGTAAGATAATTTTTACATTATTTTAACCATTAAACGAATTAAATTTAGAACAAAAGCGTGTGCAATTTCTTTCGAGGAAAAATGCATGCAGAGATTCAGGGAAAAAGACATTTTTTTGTAAGAATCATTTTTATTTTTTATGTTTGTATTAAATTATTTTCTGTACCAGTTATTTTTAAAATTAAAGAGATATCCAAGAAATATGTTGAAACGAGTAATGTTACAATGTTGCTGCACAATGTTTTAATATGTTTCTTGTTTACTGGATAAAGATTTTTATAACAAAGATCACATATGATAATGAAAACCATTCTTAAAAGCAGAATTTTTCTTTTTTTTATAACTTTTAATAATATATATATATATATATATAGAGAGAGAGAGAGAAAAGAGTTCAATTTTTTAAATAAAAAATGTAATAAATTCTAATTAATTTATCTGATCTTTCAATTAATTTATCTTATCTAACTATTTTAATATATTATCACCTCTTTAATGCCAAAAATCGCTATCGCTATAATTAACATTAAAAATATTTTATGCATATAATAAATTTCGGCAAATAGATTTTGAAATCAAGTATATAATACGATGAATACTACTATTAAGTATAAGTCATTAATCATGATTTTTTTCTTTTTTTATTTTGATTCAATTCTGTAGAAAATATTAGCTCAGCGTCTTTTATTAACATATGAAATCTTTCATGCTATTTAGATATGAAATTAGAACGAATCCCTCATACGTCTTGCCGCCATCGCCAACCGAATTGTATTCTGCTCCCATCAGTTGTCGAAAAAATAAGACTGGTCACTGGATGGACGACTTTTTATCGATAAAAACCGGGGAATCTTGTCCCGCTAACAATTACTTGCATTCCGGCTTTTTGGCCTTGCAGATGATGATGGATATCACGAAGATAAGAGTGAGTTTTTTCTTTTATTTCAAAGCTTAGTAAATATCCATTAATTTTATTTTTGAGTCTGTTATTTGATAAGAATGTAGGTCTGTTCTGATAATTAAATTGATCCTGATGTTACTTTTTGCAGTTTATAAACCCGGGAAATCCCGATGTGACAATACCGGATATTAAACTCATAATGTTTCCCAAGGAAGCGTATACCGCTGGTAACCAGAAATTTTTAGATTCACTATTTCTGCTATATATATGCCGCGTTTAATGTGTTAATGATTACATTATTTTCTTAGACTGGATGTTGGCCTTCAGAGTTATTATTCCGCTTTACATGGTTTTTGCGCTCTCGCAATTCATTACCTATCTTCTCATCTTAATAGTTGGCGAGAAGGAAAATAAGATTAAAGAGGGAATGAAGATGATGGGTTTGAACGATTCCGTGTTTTGGTAAGATCGCAATATTTACAAATAATTCTATCTAATCTATCGACTTTAAACTTTGATAATGTATGATTCTGAAAAAATCTAATTTATGTCAAATGTTATTATTAATATTCTCTCACAGCATCACGTATTTCTTTTCTTCTTCTTGTAGGTTGTCTTGGTTCATCATTTACAGTATCTTCGTTTTTTTGCTCTCTGCTGTTGGAGTGGTGTTACTCTTCACCCTGCAAATGTTTCAACACACGCATTTCCTGCCGATATTTCTTTTGGTGGTTCTATACAGTTTTTCCGTGATTATGTTCGCCTTTATGGTCACGCCATTCTTCGATAAGTCGCGCGTAAGTAATTCTTAACGAGATTGTCTCTTCGTATATTTTTTCTTTTTATATTTGAAAGATTTAATTTTTTTCCAAAACGCAACTTTTGTTATAATTTTTATGGTTGTATGTGTCTTACTATTATTAGATTAGTACAGAACAACAATATAAATTATTTTTTTATTATTTTCTTAATAAAGGAATTATATAATATGAGCAATAAAAATATCTTTTTATTTGTTTCAGACGGCTGGTGTCTTAGGAAACTTTGCTGTTACAACACTGAGCTTGATGTATTTCATCCAAGTGTTCGTGAGTGATTCCAGCTCAGTCACATACTGGATGGTTTCTCTGATCAGTCCAACTGCATTCGCTTTGGCGATGGATAAGGTAAAGCTTAAAATATTTTCTTAGTTCCTTATATATATATATATATATAATTTTGAAATAACTAGCAATAATAATAATAGTTTGTTTAATTTTCTTTAAAAAATTATAAAAAATGTAATTTTTATCATTTTTTGGAAGAAATTAAACAATTTCTTTTGTACCATGAACGAAATATTTTACTTAATAAATGATTTAACAAGGAGAGACTAGCAGATGTTTTCATAATTGACAATGTGGATTTCTTGTATACAGCCTTATCAAACGTAAATAAATAATTGCTATATAACATATATGTATAAATATGCACATGTTACATCTATATTATATGGCAATTAGATTCGGTGTTTGTGCTGGGTCGTGTATTTTAAAAAGCTTGGCACTGTGTTGTCTAGTCTCTGGTATTGGATCTGCAAGGTGAAGGAGTAAATTTCGACAATCTCTGGTCCGGCCCAGGAATACCTTTCGGTGGCAGTCTCATCATGATGACTTTGGATATCTTTTTGTACGGCTACCTGGCCTACTATCTCGATTCCGTAATTCCAAGTATGTTTCTTTTTTATTGCAATGCAAAAAATTGCTTATAAATATTCAAATTTTGTTTGAAGTTAAGTACGAAAATACTGAAAAAATACTGAAAAAATGCATGTAATTTTACATGGAAATTACATGTCTATGACCGGAAAATTACCTAAATATGATTGGAAATTTACTGGAAATTGTCTTAAGGTGTCTTTTCAGCTGATGCTTGACGCTCATTTTTAGCGTCAAAATAGATCATGTGATAAAAATTGACGAATATCAAGTGTCGATTTCGATTACGTGACCTAAAAATGAGTGTCGAGCGTCAGCATGAAAAAGCACTTTTATATTCAAGTATTCTTAGGGACAATTTATTTGCGTCATGATGTGCAATTATTTTATATATTATAATATATATGTGTATAATAATATACACATATGTATATGATAAATGATATATGATAAACCTAGATAAAATTTAATATAAGACTCAATTTCTAGGTGAGCATGGAACAAAGAGGCCACCTTGGTTTTGCTTTTTACCTGGATTTTGGTGTCAAAAGAAGGTTCAAAGGGTGAGTTCTTAAGTGTATGTAACATAAATATAAATAAAATTATAAGTCTTTCATTGAAATTTATTACATTATATGTATAAATATATTATATATATGTATTGTATATACACACACATTAGATAATTATATATTGTTTTAAATTACTGAAATGGACTTTTTATTAATACACGCGGACTAATTGAGATATTTTGAAGTAGCATAAAAATTCGAAAGATTTTATAAAAAAGTGTAAAAAGCATTCTAAATTATTTAAAAGGTTTGTGTGTATATGTTATTCTTTTCTTTTTTAATAATAATAATGATAATAATAATAATAATTTTATTGAGTGTAACGATTAATGAAAGTATACATATAATAAGGATATTAGTTGTTGATGAATTATAGGAGTGTCACAATTGTCGTTTTCATAGAAATATTTGCAGGTACCATCATCGAACGGTGAATCAAACTCGTTTATTCCGGGCGAGGAGGCGAATCGCGACGTGGAGCCGGTAGTGCGCGAAATGAAGGGCCGCGAAGCGATCAGGATAACTGACCTCTACAAATCATTCTACAAGTGCAGGCAACCGGAGATAAAGGCGGTGAATGGCATCAATCTGACTATTTACGAGGGTCAAATCACTGCCATCCTCGGTCACAACGGCGCTGGCAAGACCACTCTCTTCAACATCCTTACAGGCCTGACCGCACCTACGTCTGGCACCGCCCTAATATTCGGTTACGATGTGCGCGATTCCAACGACATGCGAGCAATACGCAGCATGACCGGAGTCTGTCCGCAACACGACATCCTTTTCGATCTACTGACGCCGCGCGAACATCTCGAGTTCTTCGCCGCGGTGCGTGGCATTCCACGCTCGATGATACGACATGAGGTACCTAAAGAGTAAAATTATCTATACGCGTGTATTCTACTATACCTATTTCTATTATACTGATTTATATACTACTTTGTATAATAGTTTGTATTAATAATGAAGCTCAATATTTTTATTTATTTAAAATAGAGTAATACTCGCTAGATTGACTATTTGATCTCCAGGTGAAGAAAACCCTGAAAGACATTGATCTAGTTGAGAAAGCGGACACTTTCGCACGATATCTAAGCGGTGGACAAAAGAGAAAATTATCTGTAGGAATCGCTATCATCGGCGATCCCAAAATTGTTATCCTTGACGAGCCTACCGCCGGGGTGGATCCTTATTCGAGAAGACAGTTATGGTCTCTTCTTCAGTCGAGGCGACACGGAAAAGTGATTCTATTGACAACTCACTTCATGGACGAAGCGGATATACTCGCCGACAGGAAAGCAGTAATCAGCAAGGGAAAGCTCAGATGTTGTGGCAGTTCTCTGTTTTTAAAGAACAAATTCGGCATTGGATACCATTTAACGTATGAATGCTATATTATTATATTATAGTATTTATTCTTACATTGACAGAAAACTCATTAAAATTTTATAAAATAAAAATTCTTAAATTTAAAATTTTGAATTTTTATTTTAAGAAAAACTTACGAAAAAAGAATTTTCTTGTTTTACATTTATTTATTTTAATTAATTTGATGTCGAAATTATTTGATTTTTTATTTGCTATAGAAAAACATGGGATTGTACAAAAATTCAATGTTGTATTTTATCAGAACTTGTATCAACAAGAGGAAATTGCAAAACGTGTACAGTTTTTCGTCAAAAATAAAATAATTTCGAACATTTAATGAATATTATATTTTGCAATTATAGATTAGTCCTAGAAGGTAATGCCAGGGAACATGCTATCAGCCGATTAGTAACATCACATGTGAGTAAAGCGGAAAAGGCAAGACGTCACGGTCGGGAATTGAGCTTTATTCTACCTCACAACTCTGTGGAAAATTTTGCACCCCTTTTCTCTGCCATCGAGCATGAAATCAAGACTCGTTCGAGTAGGCTTGGCATCAGCAGCTATGGTGTGTCGATGACTACTCTGGAAGAAGTATTTTTACATCTGGAAAAGGACGAAGAGACCGAGTGTACAATGGATAACCTGTCGAAGAAGATGGTGCGTAATCGCGCGCTCAGCCGGTCACTTTCATTGCAGTCCAAGAGTACGTCGTATCAGAGCTTGCAGAACGAGGGGGTAATCGTACAGGGCGACGGTCAAGGGAAGGGTACGTGGATCACTTCTTCTCTCGCTTTTTCCTGAAATGAATAAACTCTTTTTTGTTAATTATATCTATAAGTTATTAATCAATATTAAATTAATATTAAATACCTATATATGTTGTTTAATCATTTGTTAGTGATATTATGAAGTTATTTTATAGCTAATGATTTGCCGGACGGTATCCATAATGATCGAAATCCACCTGTGCTCGGCCTTGGCCTAGATTCCATCAAGATTCGGCCTAACTTCTTTCAAATACTCTATGCCATGTTACGTGTAAGAGTACTCAGACTCTTCAGAAATCTCCAACTGCTATACTTCACAATCATTACGCCACTGGCTCTGGTAGCGCTCGGTCTCTATTTGAACAGCATTCGAACGGTCGATGTCAAGATGGAGTCGCTAAAACTTGATAGCCGTAAGTGATTAAAATTATGCAAAATAGGAAATAGTTTGGTTTCTTTTTTTTATTTATATCTAAATTAATTTTTTTAATTTTAAAACAAGTATGGTATATTAATTGCAAATCAGCTCTATGAAGAACAACGTTTTTATCGTTTTAATTAAGATGGTATTTCATAATAAATATATTTTTATAAAAATATAGAATTTTATTACATGTCCATAAATTCATGAATATATGGGATATATTATATTTTAATTAAAGGTTGTTGCCACGAATTAATCAGGTTCATGAATTTATGGTCAAACTACGTAAAAAATTTAGTTTATAGAACACGAATTATATAATATTTTCCATATAAAATCGTTACTATTTTTGAAAAATCAAATTAATTATGGCATGTTTTCCATTTTTTAGATACATACAACGAAACCGAGATCCTCTACTTAAATAATACCGATCACGACATTACCAAGTTGATAGACAGTATAACTCAAGACGCGAAGCACATTGAAGAATACGATGGCAATTTCGCAAATTTAATGAATATCCCGCCACATATAGCCGCCTTCAACATTAATGATTATAATTTACCGCGACTCAACCTGACCGTCACATACAACGATACGATGCAACATTCCCTTCCGATATTGATAAACATTCTTTCGAACGCTTATTATAGGTGAGTTTATCATGTGGAAAAAATAAAGAGAGTTTAGTAGTTTTGAAATATTTAAGATATAAATTCTTTAAAAATAAAAGATGCTCAATATGTTACATTTTGTCTACAATCCATTTGATGCTACAAATGCTTGAAGCATTTTTTGATTGGTCAATTAGTAAAATTTTTTCTTTCAATTGGTTCAAATACTTCAAAGCATTTGTAGCATCAAGTGGATAGTATCTTTGTTATAAAACATTAAAAAAAAATATGAAGTAAAAAAATTAATATTGTAGGATAATAGGAACTGTAAATTAATTTCTTGAAACATTTTTAACTTATATAAACAAAAGAGATTGTAGTTTAGTTAGATGATAAAAATGCGCCTCAAATTGAGTAATATCTTTATGAATTATAAATTTTTATTTAGATTGATCTCGGGTAAGAATGAAGCTATGCCAATCGAAGTCCATACACACCCTTTCCAGCAAACATCTCAACCTCAACAGTTCAATATCGGCGCAGCCAGCTGTGCTATCTTTCTCGGCATGGTTTTAATAATATTGCCGATTACTTTAGCAGTAGACATGGTTAACGATCGCGAGGTAAGGACTTTACTTTTAAATGTTATACCTCATTATATGGATTATAATATTTAGCGCATTAAACATTTTAATAATATGCAAAACAAAAAATCTATTAATGTTAAAAATTTCTAATTTTATTTAAAATTAAACGAACTGCAAAGTTTCTTTTATCGATTTTAAGCAAAGTAGATATTTTGGATTTTAATTCTTTTATTATACATATATTTGTTTAAATGATCTTTTTTATCTGAAATCATTTGAAAGATTCAGTAAGCATAAAGTTAAAATGAAATGTGATGTTTTTTTCAGAGAGATTCTATATACAGTATAAAAATATTTTTCAGATCAAAGCGAAGAATCAGCTTCGCGTGAATGGCCTGTCGTTCTCCACGTATTTTTTTAGCTACTTCATTGTGCTAGTCGGCCTGATGATTTTCATCTGCCTGTGCATTCTCGGCATCATATTCCTCTTCGATGTGCCTTCGCTACGGGAAATACCGGCCATCATCACCCTCGGCATATACTGCCCATCGTCTATCGTCTTCTCTACATGTCTCAGTTATATCTTCGATAAAGTGGATTCCGCGCAAAGCATGTTGCCGAACATCGCGACCTTCTTAGGGTTGCTACCATTCATCCTTGTTATGATTCTTGATATGCAAGGACTCGGTAAATAGTAAAACCGATGTACTGAAATCATCTCATCATTTTCTTTCAGTGAAACTGTAATGAAAAGCCATCTTCCTCGCAAGCTTTTTTATTTTAAAGCCTAATTCGCGATGTTAGTCATGGAATAAAACTATTTATATCTTTTTTCTTTTTTGTTGAAAAGCTGTAAGCCTTTAACTATAAGCCTTTGACTTTGAATGTTAAATCCTAACTTGCAGCGTTGTCGATTTGCCGAACTATTTATATATTTTTTTTTCTTATCTCTGAAATTATATAAGCTTTGTAACTATTTTTTTCATACTTTATCAAAATTGATATCATCAAAATTATAAAATTACCTGTTACGTATCTGTTGCTCAAGGTGGGACAGCTTCGTTCGCGTTGCACGTGGCCTTTTCCCTATTGAACAGCATGTACGTGCCGTATGCGGCGGTGTATTACGTGGACCGCGTTCATTTGATGTGCTCCATCAATGCTGCCTGTCACTATCTCGCCATGTCTGATTACCTCACTATGGAGATTATATTGCTGGCTTTTGGTGCGCTGCTACAATGTCCGATTTGGCTCATAATACTACTTATACTGGACATCAACAAAAGTGGTGGCAATGTCAGCGATGTGTTTAAATACTACTTTCTGGTTAGCGCAAATTTAACGTTATCAATTAAAATTTTTATTACTACTCGTACTATTTTTTTTATATGTACAAACATATATATGTATATTTTAAAGTTACATGATATTGTTTTATATTCATATTTGTATCCTATGATACGATTCAAAGCATTTAATTTTATGTTATAGGAACAAAAATGTCAAATTCTTTGGTTTGCTTCATTTTTCTAATTTATTTCTTTTATAAGTAATTTTCTTTCTTTTCCTAATTTACTTGTAAATTTTTTAATTTAGTGTCTAAAAATTTATGTTATTAAGAAAATCTCTAATAATATCTTGCACGAAATGTATGAGAATACATTTTCGTTCTTAAATTGTATTATAATTTTTGCCTATTTAATAAATAAATATATCGTAAATAAACAATTTTTTATATAATTTAAGGTATACATTCCAGTCATATTTATGAGTGAATAGCAAATTTTAAATTAAATTTATTAAACCTATCTGAAATATATTTTTGTAACAAGATGAGATCTTTTCCATTTTTACAGAGTGATGGCGATTCTATTCGTGAGGAAATTATGGAAAATTCGGATATTGGCGAACACGAAGATACAGATGTGAAGAACGAGCGACAAAAAGTTTTCAATTTTGTCGTTTCATCGGCCCTCGGTCAAGAACCGCCCTTAGTATTGCTTCAAGTAAGTCAAGTACGAATTGAAGACATTAGACTGTCTGACAATACGAATGTGAATAATAATTTCCGACGTATCTTTGCTTGCTAAACACGAATTCATTGACAGAAATTGACTAACATACAACAATTTTGAAAAAAATGGCATAAAAAATAACCATTTTAAAGATTTCATGATATTGCAGCACCATTATCCAATTTATAAATAAATTTTATTAAAGCTCCGCGAAAGCATCAATTTTTAGTTTTAAAATGCATTTTAGTTTGTTTCGGTGTTCTCGAAAAGGATTTCCAAATCTGTAAAAGTAATATACATATGCGATATCATTCTACGAAAATTATTGCTTAATCGATAAAAAAAACGACTTTGGGATCTTCTTAATAACAAAATATTTATATATTATTATATAACAAAATTAGTTAAACAAACACAGTTTGTTTTAACTTAAAGCAATTTTTATAACGCAAATATTCAAATTAATTCTTTTTGATGGAATGTAAAATTATTTTATCTCACATGTTATAAAATGCATGATTATAGAATCTGCGAAAGGAATATCGACAAAAAGAATCAGGATCATCCTGCTGTTCAAAGCGTGAGGACGAGCGAAAGGTTGCTGTGCGAAACCTCTCGTTAGCGTTAGAACCAGGCGAGGTCATGGGCTTATTAGGTCATAACGGCGCTGGCAAGACCACGGCAATGAAGATCATCATCGCCGAGGAGGCACCCACGAAGGGCAGGGTGCAAATTAGTGGTCATAACATTAACACCCACATGACGGAGGCTTTTCGACAGATGGGCTATTGTCCCCAGCACGACGACGCCGCAATTCGCGGTGTTCCATGGAGCGAAATCGATGGGTGCGATATATCTTTTAATATTTACCTAGTAAAATATAATTAGATAAATTTTTAGGGATATAATGGTTAACTTATATAAACAATCGAATTATTATAGAATTAAAAGCATTCTGTTTGATATACTTAAGAATTAAAGTTCTACTGCAGCGTCAAAAATTACTGCATTATAATTAAGTATTTCCTTTTTCATATGGCAATCTAGTTTTCTGATGTATATAAATTAATACTAGCATTTCTATGCATAATTGATAGAATATTATTTTTTAATTATTATGTTGCAGAATCGTGGATCAGTATTTGACTGGTCTGCAGATTCACGAACATGCCGACAAGCAGAGCCAAGAATGTTCCGGCGGAACTAGAAGAAAACTTAGCTTTGCGATGGCAATGGTCAGTGGACCTAAGGTGATTCTTATGGATGAACCAAGCACAGGTATGGATCCCAGATCAAAGAGATTCCTATGGGATACGATTCTCGCTAGTTTCCAGGTAAGACTGTGTATTACAATTTGAAATTATTTTTCCTTATTCAATAGATTTTTTTAAAAATATATACTTTTTTAAATTCCTACCAACTAAAACTTCTTACCAGATAAAAAAAGTATAAAATCAATGTGAATAAATATAGGTATAACAAATATAGAAGAATAAATAATAAAATAATAGCAATATAATTATCAGAATATACAGTAATCAATTCACATTAAAAGATTAAAGATATCTCGATTCGATTACATATTAAAAATTTTCTTCTAAAAATCTTTTTTATTATAGGGTGGCAGGGGAGTTATATTGACTACCCATTCCATGGAAGAAGCAGACGCACTGTGTTCAAGAGTCGGCATAATGGTGAAGGGTGAGCTGAGATGCATCGGCTCGACTCAGCATCTAAAAAATCTCTATGGTGCTGGCTATACTTTAGAGATGAAGCTACTAGGCGGCGACTGTACACCGACGACACCCTCCGGCGACAGGATCGCCGGCTTGAAGGAATTCGTCGCCGGCCTCTTCCCCGACGCCACTCTGGAGGAGAGCTTCGCTGACCGGCTAGTTTTTGCCGTGCCCCAACATTCTGTGACCTCACTGGCTGAGTGCTTTACACAATTAGAAAAAGGTGAGAAGATGGCTTGAAGAGTTTGAAGAATTTTCTTCGAATTTAATAATCGACTTGTCATAGATCCAAAGAACACAAAAATCTAAGGATACTTTTTTTATGCAAGCGTAATATTAAAGAACATTAAAACTAAAAGATAAGAAAATTAGAAAAAAATATATAATTTTATTTTGATTTTTAAGTCGGGACGTTTTAATTTGGATATTTTGAAAATATAATTTTTTTTTAATTGTGTAGCGATTACACAATTTTTAATTTTGAACTTGGAATTTTATCTAATTAGCATAAAATAAATATAAGTTTAAGAAATAAAACTAAGATTTATCTAGAGTTCTTTGAGAGAAACAGAGAGAAAGAGAGAGAGGAGGGAGGGAGGGATTTGAGATTAGAATTTTAAAGTTTCCGATTTAGGAATTTAAAACTTTAGCCTCATATTGTAAATCGATTGTGAAGGAAATTTTCGTAACTTTTTGAAAATTTTTGGTTGCAGCCAAACTCGAATTGGACATTGAAGAGTACAGTTTTAGTCAAACTACCCTGGAACAGGTGTTCCTCAAGTTCTCGCACTAGAACACTTCCTTGGAATGACGATGTGACATCGTTACGTGATATAAGTGATAAACTCGCGATCAGTGCGCGTGAAAGAACTGTTCATCTACATAGGAACATGTGAAGAAAAAGAATGTGCTAGAACATGACAAATGTTGTTAGTTGTTTGGTTTCCGGAATTTCTATGTCCTCACTAACAAATTATGTGATTGCGCCAATGACAATGTGATGAAACGTGTCATCTTTTTATTACAAGGCGTCGCAGATAATGGAATGGTGAGTATAATGGTTATCTAACGATTCTAGTATTGCAAAAGAATATCGAAGAGACGTCGGTTTGTGTCTTCAAATTTTTGGAGGGACAATGAAGAAACGAACAGACAAAATGATGAGACAAGAAGAGTTTTTGAATAATTTAAATTTTATTTTGAAGTGCAAAGTGACAAGCCTGTTTGAAGCTTAATAGAGAAATGAGAAATGAAGATGGAATATAATATGGAAAACAAGAAACAATTATCTAAGAATCGTAGCGTTTAAGAAGTGAGAGAGAGAAGAAATGAAGAATTATTTATTTGATCCAAAGTACTGAAGAAATTATAGAACAATGAAGAAAGAGAAACAGGAATGGTAGATTGTGTTTACAAAAAAGAGAGATAAGTTAAATTCTAGACTGTCAAAGCAAGAATGAAGAAACCAAAGAAACGTAAATTATCTCACCGTTATACATTCGATAGCAAGTATTAAGATGACAGAAAACTATAGGGATGACAAAATGGTGAACAGATAGATAACTGTACTAAAGCCTACATTTGAGGGAGTGTTAAAGAAACTAGTCGCTTTGTAGCTCCAAACTGGCAGAATGATGAAGCAACAAGGGAGCTATGAGGGAACATATACATATACAAGTTAGCAATTAGTCCTAGTATACAATTTTGAAGGAGTATTAAGTGACAAATCGTATTGCAGCTTTATCGAAGAAGAAATGTTGGAGAAACAGTATAGTAAAATGGAACTTCAAAGAAATATTAATGAAAGTTCTTTAGTTCCGAGATTAAAGGAACTATATGGGAAAAAGATGAAGAATTTAATAATTGCTAGGCAAAAATTGTTTCGTCATTGCAAAATTAACGACGGGAGACGACAGGGGAGTAGTCCATTAGGTCTAGCGTGGAAATGCTTCGAGGAGTATCGGGACAAATCAGTTCAGGTCGAAGAAATGACTGGAGGACGATGGAACATAAAGTTAACTCTTCAGATGGTGCTTCGAGAAAGTGTTGAAACGAGAGGCCGCCTTCGAATTATCGGAGGAACGACGATCGATAGAATCGTGGAACAGTTAGGAACAAATAGGAATCTAATAATAGTGTCTTTCCTTTAGGAGAACGTCAAGGTGACAGGGTGGACGAGGGAGAGACATTGACGGTGGTGTTATTGTTCGTGCTAGTGAACGAACGCAATCGTCCTTCGCGAAAAAGACTCTCTCTCTACAAAGTTTTGTGTATTTATTCTATAAATAGTATTGCGGGGGTATATATCATGGGGATATAGTCGCGATTTTTGAACACGAGCTCCCTTTTAACAGTGGAGTATCGTTGTTCACAAAGCTTTACGCTCGAAATTTCCCACGAAGTTTTTATCTGACGTCTCTATCTCTCTCATCGGCATCGTTTCATCCGTAACGTCGCGTCCGAGTGGTGGATCTTCCGCTCGGAGATCGGCGTCCGAGGATGAACGTTAAGTGTAAGCGCAGCGATGCGCGGGGAGTGAACGTCCTCGTGGCGTAGGGTTGAGATTACGTACTGATAGTTCACTTCGTATTTGAAAACTTACCGATAATAGATCTCATATCGATATTGCACTGGAATTGGAGCGCACGTCCCGTTGTTTTCGGGCAGGACAGTTCGTTCATGGTAGCTGCAAATCGATAGACCGGCTCGAGAAGATGATAATGTAAGATTTCAGTCTTCGGCTGGCTTTTAACATTTACAATCCTGAAAAAGAAATCTTTATATCGTATAATCACACACATGCTAGTAAACCGCGTTACAAATCCTTCACTCATAATAGTATTATTTTACCAATCTTACCCGATTATTGACTGCAGAAAATGGATAATAAAAAAAATTTGATTAAACTGAGGCTTTGAAATTCAAGAATTTTTTTAAACATTTTTTAAAGTTTGTAGTTTTTATTTTTTTTTTATTTACGTTTCGATTTTTTTCAGAGATTTCTTTAGACATGTTTAATATTTATTTTACATTTCTTCTTTTAATAAAATTAAATAATTTAATACCACAATAAAGACAAAATAATACCATAATTAAGACATGTTGAGAGAAAAATGTACTAAATTTTAATAAATAATTGTTTGAATAGTACTAATATAACATTTATTTACGGAAAATAAATATTTGCTAAATAAAATATAATAATAGATAAATCAAATTAATGGTTCTTGTACTAAATAAATATAGGTATGTTTAATTTAATACTAATTAAAAATAGGTATGTAATATTTAATAAATATTCAATATTGGCACTATTCAAACAAATATTTATTAAAATTTAGTATATTTTTCTCTCAATAAATACATACATACAATCATCAATACATTTTTATCAAAAATTAAAATAAATTTCTAAGAAATATATGTATAATATTGGATACTGTAATAACAATTTATTTCAGAAAAAAAATGATGACTTGTCACGCAAGAAACACAGTACAATGATAAGATATTGAGAATAAAAATAGATGAGACGCATCAATCTAAATTCAATTCACTTAATTCCTTCTCAGTCATCTATTTTCTGCATTCAAATATGACGAAGAAACGCAATATCATAAGTATTTTCTAGATAAAATTGCAAATATGTAGATATATTTTTCGAGTTATAAGATTGAGAATACATTTGTAATATGAGATTTTTCGAATTGCCCACTTTTTGAGCCGAGCCATCGAAGTGGCGCCGACGTGAGTCCTATTGGGCCGTGCTGAATGCATCGAGTTACGAGGAGTGTTCGAGAAGTAGCTAGCTTTCATCGTGGAATTACCGCAAACGTACTGATTACTTAAATCTTTCAGCCAAGACGCTTTTTAGGCGAATTTTCGGATTTTGAGCATTGACATAACGTTACAGATTCGACATAACATTTGTATATTTATTATAATTTTCAGGAAATTAAAAAAAATGCTTCCTGGAAGGCGCGAATGAGAAAACATCAGAGTTATCCAACGGGATTTACATAGAGATAAAAGATTAAATAAGAGAAATATTGCGCAACTAGTCGGTTTTTGTTGAGTGATGCTGCGACATTCCGTATATATTGTGATCGGTAGATCGGATGATGTTTTATTCTCTTTTGATAAACGAGGGGACTAACGTGCCTTGAGTTTAGTATATATATGTATATATACGCGTAACTCGAAGAAGCCGAGAAGCGTAATTGTCATGCTGCTCATAGAATAAAGTACGATTGTTCCTGAGAGCTACGAAGTGCTGTAGTGATCCCTTCTGTCCTGTTACTTTTCTTCCGACACTCCAGCGCAATCGTTTTTCCGAAACCCGCGAAGCGTCGTATTATTTCTCGAACACCTCTCGCATTTTCTACACGTAATTAAAAATACCCCAGGAAGGGCCATAGTCCTAACAAAGAAAACGTAAGAATGACACGGCTTATAGTCTCGAGCGCAACAACTAGAATGTTTTTCTTGTGTGATAACAATCATGCGGACACTCTTTACCGTTAAACATCGATTGAATAATACAGCGAACGATTCTGAGAGAAAAAAAGCAGTTACAGTTGAAGGTACTGTTAATGTTGTAGGTTTAACTCTTTGCACACGGCAATCCTGTTTTACACGTCATTATCCTTCCCGCGATTGAAGGAAGATCTTGTAAAAAGAAATTTGAAAAATAAAATTTAGTTAATAAAAAATAAGCTACTCTTTTCTCTTCTGTAGCTAATTAAAAGAAAAGAACAGAAATTATTTCGTGAAAGGAATCTATATGATAATTATATAATTTTGTTATTACATATGTATAATATTATTTATGTGCATATGTATAAATAAATCACAAGATTAGATGAAATAATTATTCATTCTTGTGATATATTTTTTCAATTTGTCATCTCTCTCTCTCTCTCTCTCTCATTCGAGTAGGAAGAGTTAAGTCAGTTTTCTGTCGAGAATAATTTCGCATACTTTAGTCAAGGAGAACTGATCAACATTAAGCAATATATATGAGAAATTGAAATGGATACGATTATGTAATTGAAGGCATGAATGGTAAAGGGCGTCAATTAAAACGCGATCGATCGTTCGATCAGATCGAAATATCTTAATCCCTTCCATGAACAAATTATTTGTGAAATGTACCCGAATTGATTTATATATTCTTTACAAATATATGTTGTACAGACTATCCCAAATTCATTGTTTTTTCCTTTAACGATATTCAATGATATATTTTTTGAAAAATTTCGGTTTAGTTTTTCCTCACAAACGAAAATTTAATAAAAACATTATCTGCCTTTCTAATCTTTTTATCTTCAATCTTATATCTTGTGACATTTTTTATCAAGAAGAAAAGTTTGAAAACTTTTCAGACTGTGTCACTAATAACAGAAAAATCAGTTTTAGAAAAAACTGATCTTTTTGTATTTACAAGCTTTTCGTAAAATGAGAGAAAAAGAGATGTGCAGTGAATTTGGAACAGCTTGTATATAAGTTATTAATATAATTATCTCAGTATAGAGAGTAACTTGGAAGGGAAGCATTCCCGCAACACGTGTATATAAATTTTCTTGGTCCTATAAAAAAGAGAAGTAATATGCTTTTTTATACAAATATCATTCACCGAGATTTTAGAATTCCGCTTTTATTAATTTACGAAAGATCCGGGATGATAACTAAATATTCTTATCATCCAATTTTTCAAGTAACATAGTCGAACTGAATAAACTTTATCTCACATCAAAATGATCGATTTATTTCTCTGTCACAAAATAGTAAATTTACATGCGATCAAATATTTATTGTAAAATTTTTAATATTTTAACAGTTTGCGCTACTTTTATTATATATTATTTCTATTTTATAGAGACACATACTTAGAAGGATTATTTTTTCAGTTAATTTTTAATTAATACAGTATTCTATATATATTTTTTAGTATTCTCAAATAGAAATTGAATTCTTATTGCAAGAATAAAGCTAAACAATTTATTTAAGATCTAATTCCCTGTGATTATTCTTATAATAAATTTTTAATTTCCACTTTTATCGCTCACTACATAGTTAATATAATTACGTAAACATACGATAAACTGTTATTATAATTTTAAAATAATTTATTACCGTTATTTATTATTTATTGTTTAGTAAATTATTGTTATAACCTTATAACTAATTCTCTTAATCTCTGAAATTAAGTCACTATTCATGAATAATCGTATCAAAAATATGAGAAAGGTAATTCGTATGCAAAAACTTTGTTTTATCAGGAAAGGAAGAAGTATTATGTGATTGAGAATCGAAAAGTCTCTGTTAAATCTTTATTATTACTTATCCCTGCAAAAGAGATAGATTAAAAAAAATTGACGCGAATTCAGCTTGCAACATCGAATTTTTGATTTTCTAAAATCAGCAATCTGTTAAAAGTGTTGGGATTAATATATGCTATTCGTTTCTTTCCATTCTTACTATTCTAGTATCGCTTCGCATTCTTTATAATTGGATTCGAAGTGATTTTTTTTATTTCTTTCTCTGGTGTATAAAGTGGTAAAATTAAGTATGTGATACGCAATATAAAATTTAATATGACATTTTAGTTTTTATTAAACAATTATTTTAAATCGTTCAGGATGACTAGATCTTCAGACTTGAATATAAAATTTAAGAATTAAAAAAAGCACAAAAAAGGATTTATTTTCAAATCGATGCCTGGTTTCGAACCTCAGGAAATCGTAACACTCCACAGAATGAATTTTTGTCAATTTAAAAAATTTTTTTATCAGCCGTTTTTTTTATAAGAAACTGCACTAGATAACATATATATTTCTATTCTAGCTATATCTCGATGAAATTTTACTCGATATACATAGACATATAATCAACGTTGAGAAATTGCCTGTCCAATAGTACTTCTCGAATGGCCGTTGTGTGTCTCCGTATTAAAATCAACGGCAGCTTTCCGCGAAAGGTAAACTTTGTAAAAAAAAAAAACATAATTTAGATTGAACTAGGCTCTTCTCGTTGATACTTTCAAGCTTATGTAGAATTGTTTCGTAGGATTTTCAACAAATTTGGTAAGATAGAATAAAATCCGAAAGAATTTCGTACGATAAATTTGTTTGGATTGAATTATTTGAATCTCCGCATCCCGTTTCCAATTTTCATCCTCTGGGTAGCGATTATGTAACTTTTTCCCTAGGGCGGAAACATGAAAAGTGAAAATTTTTTGTAGTGTGTATACGTACGAATATACATACATAAAAATTTTCACTTTCCACATTTCCCCTCTAGCGAAAAAATTACATGATCGCTAGATAAATCGTTGATAAAAAAGATAAAGAATTATTTACGCGAAAAATGTTTATTGTTCATTATTCACAATAAAAAACAAACGAAGAATACGGAAGTTTATAACAAAAATAATGGGTAGAATTTTATTTAAACGCAAATGATTTATTTTTACCGTATTTTTTTATTCAATTGTTATATATATAATAGAAAGGTGTTTACACGTTATTAGCGTTCAACAAAACTTGTATATATTTTCACTCAATTTATATCATTCAGAGGACTAAACATATATATATATGTATATATATAAACAATTAGATATACATGCTGCCCTTGTATATACGATTTTATACACGTACACTTACTCCGAAGAATTACTTACTTTTGAACTAATTTCGAGCATTTCAAAATATTGAAATAAATAAGAAAGTTTTTATTTGTCTTTATTAAATTATTTAATAATTTATTAATTATAATTACTATTAAATTAAAATAGTCAAGAATTTAAATAATTCTGATTAAAAATTTTTTTATTACATTTATTTAATAAATATAATAAGTATTAATATCATAATTATCAGTAATTTATCAAATTTTTTAACACAATTTTGTGAAATAAACTATTAAATATAAATTATATCTTAAATATTATATCTTACACTGAAAAAATAAAAAATATTTTATCTTATATTCTCTATTATAAAAAAAGTAGAGCAATATTTTTAAATGCTATAACATGAAACGTTTCCATTTCCTAAACTTATATTCTAAGAATCTTTAAATTAGTTCAAAAATAAGATATTAAGATATCTTGCTTCTCAATTTTGTAAAATAAAAAATGAGAATTATTAGAGACTAAAGTCGTTTCGAAATATGGTTGTGGAAAATTTTTCTTTGTCACTTACATTAATTATTGCAAATCGATTTTCAATTTTATTTATGCTTCACGTACACCATCAAAAATAACATATATGTAAAATAACATGAACAACAAAATCTATACATGTATACAGTTTCATTATAAATCATATAAATTTTACACTTGTTCATGTAATTTTTCAACTAGTGTTTTTTTTACAGTGCACATCGATTATAATACAAAGCTATTAATTAGAATTAATTAATACTATTATATAATGTAAAAAAAACCACATAAATGTATATTCTTATTTTGTCAGTTTTCGATTCAGTTTGTCTGCGCGAAAAATTAAACTATTATGGAGCAAAACTAGATAAATGTGTCAGAAATGTGTTAAGTAGAATGCAAAATAATGTCTCAAAGTATAAACCATTTAGAACGCCTTTTTGTCAATTTTTATCCTCCATACACATATTATAATTTAAATAACAATATATTTTTTTTAGGAAGTATTACAAATTTGAATTGAAATAAATCCAATAAGTATTATCTTTAGATAAGAGTTAGAAGTCGTTTTTTTTTCGAAAAGATAATAAAGAAAAGAGTTTATTTTTAGTGAGGTCAAATTGTTCGTAAACGCATTTATGCATGTTATGCATTTAAATAAACTTTCTTATATAAAAAAGACAAAAAATTAAAAAAGACATTTCTCTAAATTATTACAATATACTCAGAATTTATTTACAAAGGGAAACTAGTTCAGAATGTTCAAGTGAAAGATCTACAAAATAAATTGTTGAAACGCAGCTTTGACGCATTTTTTTTTATCGAAATAAGTTATTCACGCATTTCTTTTTTTGTACAAACGCATGTACTTGGATGCTCGCATTCGTAATTAACATTCATACCCGTGAAAATATTCAAAAATTATTTATACTATAATACAATATTAGTATAATAGTATCAAATATTTAACAATTTAGGGAGCGCAAATTTGAATTACAAATGAAATAAATTATTTAAATTTAGTAATATAGACAATTTAGTATTAAAATAACATTTGCTAACATTAATGCTTGGCAATCAAATCAAAATATATATATATATATTAATTTGACGTATCCCCCTTTTCTTTTGACTTTTTAAAAATATGTTCTTACAGTTCTTAAATAAAATAAAACATATTTATAAGATATTGTAAGATATTTTAAAAGTACCTTAGAATATCTTATTTCTCTAATTTCTACCTCTTGATTCCAATAGCAATTTCGATGAAAATTATGAGAAATATAATCACGATTAGTAAAAAGAATTCGTTTCTTATTGAATAATGTCGAGTAATTATCGTACAGAACATTCCTGTTATTAATCAGTTTGTTTGTCTCGTATTATAAACAATAGACAAAGCGAATTTGGACCATGATTGTTAAATTTATATCCTAATTAAATAAATACCTAAAGCGTGATTATCATACGAATTGTCAATTGTCGAATCCAAATGTTAATACAAAAGTGAATTTACTTTACTTTCAGAAGTGAAAAGTAGATAATTAGAGCACTTCTTCGAGACTTCTCAACTCAGAGATGAAGATTCAAATAAAATTAAAGTAATTACACAACTTAATCAGGCATAACGTCCAGAACATACAGGCAGAACATTAATCACATTCAATAGATTTACACTTCCATGAATTTCGAACAGTAATTGAATCTAAATAATATATGGATGCAGTCGAGTTGCTGCTATGAATACTTCGAAGCATTTGATTGACCAATCGGAAGAAAGAATTTTACTAATTGACCAATTAAAAAATGCTTCCAAACATTTGTAACGGCAACTCAACCGCACTCTATCAGTCAATTAATCAATTTTAATTGATACAGTTATAATTACTAAATCAGTGATCTAGATTTATAGTTTCAAAATTTGTCCAATGGACTAAAGGTATATTAATCCAATGACAAACTTGATCTCAGTGATCTTTATTTTATCTTATAAAAGACATTTTAAACAGGAAATTGTCGTCACTGAGAGGACAGTAGTTCTTCTTAAGAATAATTTAAGAAGAGATTGATTTGAGTAATTGATCGATGTATGTAGATGTTAACGATAACCTCGCGCAAGCTTATTTAAAAAACGAGATCAAAGAGTAATCTAATAAATCGTTTCTTATTGTAAATAAAATTAAAAGCTTGCAGCCCGTACCACCTAAAAATACAATCCAGTTTTTTTCTCTTACTCTTATTTATCTCTCTTTTTCTTTTATTCGTTCACTCACTTATCATTCACTTTACTTATCTATTCTTATAGTTTATAAATTAGACCATAAGGCATGAAAACATATAAGCAATAGAATTAAAGTAATAAATTATCCAGTCTCCTGAATTTTCGACTGTGATTCTTAAATCTATGACATGAATTCTATAGCTTCTATGTTCTTTTTCTTTCATGTGCTATGGTCTTAATAAAAACTTAGAAAAATTCGTGATTCATTATTGACGTACTTAGGGATAATCACATATTGCATATGGTCATTCCACAAAAAGTCACGAGTAATAAATAAAAGATATAAAAAAGAAAAGAAAAATGCTCGTAATATTACAAAACATAACTCTACACCGCGGCGTATTTTTCAAATCAGCACCTTCTTCTTCATGTGGATAGGTACAGCCGATGGTAGTCGTTGGCACCGAAGGCGCAATTACATTTGGGACATTTTCGTTGGCGCGTTTCGTAACGTGTGCGTAAACAGTCCCAACAAAACACGTGGAAGCATTTGGTGAGCACAGCATCCTTCCGCTTCACCTTACAAGACGGACACGTTAAAGTTTCCTTGTACTCCCGCAGCTCTTCCGCCATCACTTCATCCAGGGTTTCGGCGAGCTCAATCTTCTTCATTCGCTCAACCTTGCGCCTCAGTTGCGCTATTTCTTCCTATAACGCAATTCATATATTAAATTTTATTTTTCTATCAATGATGATATTCAAATACACTATCAGATTTTGTCATCTACTTTCTAATATAAAAGCTTTTAACATTATATCAAAATTTGTATAATGATTTGCATAAATTATTAATTAATATAGACAAAATAATTCTCAGATCTTTTATAATTAATTCTATTTAATTAATTTAAAAAAAAGATATAAAAAATTCAGAATACAAAAAAATATTTTAGCTACTGCAGGATTAATCATTACCTGTAATCTTTTAGTTTTATATGCTTCAGCTTCCAAGGAACTTGTTTTCTCGGCTACAACTTGTTGTGCTTCCTTCATTTGGGAATGATACTTCTCTGTAACAATAAGTTATATTAGTTTTTTGTTTAGAAGTAATTATTTAATTTTTTATTAAATCATTTATCTTCATTTATTTTTCTACCTAATATGACAATAGCTAATATATGTTTTAAACATCTTAATATATTATTTATATGATTTAAAAATTTATGAGAAATTTTATTAGAGATTTATATAATTCAAAATCTTAATTTAGTGTTTTTCCGTTTGCATGAAGAATCTTACCAAGATGGAGTTTGAGATCAGCTGCAGATTGTGCACTCTCTATCGCTTTCCGTTTATGCATCTCCATTGCTTGCTGTCTCAGTGCCAATTCTTTTTCCACCGTGGCGAGAGAGTTTTGTAAAAAACGCTCCTTCTCTTCCAACTTTCGTACAACTACGTTGGCCGCTTCCACTTGCGTCGTTAATGTAGACACTTGTTCTTTCAACACATCCTTCTCCTCCCTCGCGAGTTTGTGCAATTGATTACTTTTGATCCTCTCTGTCATGAGCTTGAAATTTGCGTCATCTTTCTCACGTAATTGTTGTATAAGTCTAGAGTTCTGCTCTTGCATATCCTCGAACGCTTGTCCAGTCACTTCCATCTCATTCAGAAGCGCTTCCTCTTCCTGCAACCAAATACAATTCTGTTCAACGTTACATTTCCGTTCACGTATGCTATCAGATTTTGTCATCTATTTCCTAATATTAAAAATTTGTTAACATTATACATAAAAAAATTTCCACAGTAATGATTTGCATAAATAATTACTTAACATAAATGACAAAATAATTCTCCAGCTAGATCTTTTATAATCAATTCTACTCCAAATTAATTAAGGTCTTCCTTTTCTATATAGCGTTTATTAAAATTTATTAAAAAACCATAAAAAGAGTAATCTATCTGTGATCTACCTGTTTTTGACAAGCAACCTGACGTTGCAATGTGTATGCTTGTTCTTCTAATTTCTTAATTTTTATCTGTGCATCTTCATCAGCTAACTTCTTACGTTCCTCACGTTTACTTTCCTGCAAGAACACAATAAAATTCACATTGTTATCAAACAAAAATAATCTTCACTAAGTCAATATGAATCAATAAAAATAAGTATTTATATACGTTATTAATATTAAAGAGAGCAAAATATTTTAATCCTTATTCAAACTAATTATTTTCTTTAACCAAACTGCAATAAGTGCAGTTCAAATATATACATGCAATATATATCAAATATATACATGTATATATATATATAATATATACATGCGTTGCTTATTTCATTGATTTATCATCATGTACATTACTATAAATTATCATGTAGTAATTGTAATAATTATAAAATATATTACAACATACTTGAATCTTTTTGACTTGCTGTCGTAAATCCTCCAACTCTGCTCTTGTTTTACGCTCTGCAGCCATTAACTGTACTTTGTCTCGCTGCTCTTTTCCAACACCTTTGTACATGTCTAATAAAAGCTTCATTTCTTTCATCTCATTTACAGCTTTTCTATAATCAAATATTTATTTTTATTTATTTTCTAAAAATATATCGTCACAATAAAAATATTAGTATTTTATTTGAAAACACTAGATATCCTCGCAAACATACTTAAGTTGTGCCTTCAAATCTCGCACGAGTTCTGATTCTGCCATTTTTGCGTCTTTAGTGCGATGTGCAGGATCCCGATGTTCAGTTTTCACAGATTCTTTCTTGATATCCTTTTCACGTTTTATATCCTTCTCCTTTTTTAGAGTTGGCGAAGTTAATGTTAGAGAGTCTGGTGTATTTTTGTTGCCTTCACCTTCTCCAACTTCAATCGTTTCCACCTCTTCATCAGCACCAGATTCCCTCTTTATGGTAACACCACTTTCTTCTTTTATCTGTACGTGTATATAAAAAATTAATAAGCAGTAAAGAAAATCTCATTTTTTAAATAAAGCAATATAGCCCAATCTAACATTCTGCAATCTTAACATTTTTGCAAGAAAAAATAATTTTTTCTGAACTACATATACACAAACAAATGCATAAAAAATTAATATAATTATATAGAAAAAAGTGCATCGCTATTTTTTTATTTAAATTTATACATTTATATCGTACCTGTGTAGATCCTGGCAACGAATTTGAAGCATCTTCTTCTTTTCCGCTACCATCTGAATTATTCCCTTCTTTATTTTCTTGCGACGTTTGTTGTCCTAATTTAGTTGTCAATTCCTCTACTTCCTTCTTTAACTGGAAAAATTTAATAAAAATAAACTGATAGCTATTTTTATTCCAATTAAATAATATATATCGAGTGATAATCTATATTATATTTTGTCCTGTTATTAAGGTAATGCATAGAGAGCGATTGACTTTTTTTTTTGTAATCGATAGGTCTTGAATTCAATCTTGAATCTTATTCCATAAATATGTATACGACTCGGTTTATAAAAGATTGATTAAAGAATTAAAGATTTGAAAAAACACGAAAAGTTTTAAGAAACATTGTATTATGTCCCAATTAGAGACAAATGTATTCAATAAAGAAAAATATATTGTGATTACAAACTTTAAAAGTTTTAAGTAAAAGAATATGAATTGTAATCCGACAACTTCGGAGTAATATATATATATATATATTAGATACATAGATATTATGTAAATCAAAGCTGATATAATCATTCACAAAAAATTATTAAATTTTGTAATAAAATGAAAAATAAGAAAACTAATTAGAAAATCATATAGTATATGTTTACATGTACATACTCGAGGTATTTCAGTAGAAGTTTCTTTGTATTTTCGCTTGTACCGATGCACTTCTCCTTTTAATTGCTGATTGTGATTCTGAAGGGAGGTAATTAGGTGCCGCATTTCTCGATTGATCGGACCTGTCTGTTCATTGGCAGCTAGATTCTGTTCAAATTCAATGCGAAGCATCTCGTATTCCTTGCGTAATTGTGCTAAAACGTCTTCGAGTTGTATACACTCGCCGCGCAATTTTTTTTGAGCCATTAATTCTTCACTCTATAAAAATTTTGAATAAAAATAAAATGTCAATTTGCATGCGCGTAAGCACAGTCTATAGATATATGAAGGTCTTACCTCCATCATCTCAATGTGGCGCAGATGTGTATTCTTGCTCGACTGCAATTGTTGACGAGCATCATCCAACTGTGTTTTTAATTGCATAGACTCATTATACAATACGGAAAATTGCGATTGTAAACATTTGTACTCTGTTGTTTCCACAATTACTGATTCGGGAAGTTGTCGTATCTACAAGAAATGCTAAAATTTAGCTATTTGGTAACAGCAAAGTTAATTAGATTAGAATATTATGATATAAATAAAATTTAGGAAATAAAACTGTTTACTTACGTCCATTTTCAATTTTTCTACTTCTTTTAAAGTGTCGCGGTGTTGCTGATGCAGTTTGTCTAATTCCTGTAATCTATTATTAGCTAATTCACGCGTTTCTTCAAGTTCTCTTTGCAAGTCATCAAGCTGTAAAAATAATATATATCTATATATATTATAAATTAAAGAACAGTATTGTAATATTGAACTCAAGTTTATGCTCGTATCTTTATATAAAAAAATAAAATTTTTACCTTAGTCTGAGAAACACTAGATGCAACTAAAGTATTCGGTTTATTACTGCCTTTCTCATCAGTGCCATGAATTTGTTGAAAAGCTTTTAATTTTTCGACTGCTTCTCCAAGATGATGTTCCAATTTATCATTTCTCGCCCGTACTTTGTTCAATTCATATTGCAGATCGTCGACTTGATTTCGCAATTCTGCTGCAAGCGTATCTTTCCCTGTTATTGTATCTTGCAATTCTGACATCTACAAAGAAATATCCAAAATAAATAAGTATTGACATTTTCGATTATCGCGAAATATAAAAAAAATTAAATGATGTTACAACCCAATTCGAGTTTTGGCTTTTTAAATTAGACACCTTCTTAAAACTTTTCAATAAAAATTTGTGTAGAGTAGAGAATCAAACCTGAGCTAATTATGAATTTGACTCTCACATGAAGCCATGCAACATTCCAGGTAAGGTGTTTACTGAAATCTTGTAAAATTCCCTGAGAATTCCCGGATTTTCTAGGTATTTTTGTTCAATATTCCAAGTAAAATAAGATAATTTTTTAAATACAATTCTGAAATAAATTGGAGTACTAGTAACACAAACAAATTATTATAAATTAGTAGAAGACAAAGATTCCATGAGACTATCTATCATTTTCTATTTGGACCTGCGAAACCTATGGGGTAGTAGAAAAGACTCACTAGTATCAGTAAGCTACTCTCTTCCGCTAAGTATCTTCTACTGTCACTTGATTTTTTAAAATAAAAAGTCGCGAGACACATACAAAAATGTACATGAATATATACGTAGATGTGTATACCATATGTATTGTGTAAGCCCGATTATCAACATTATGCATTCCCGAATAAAATGCTTAAAAAAACAATGTTATCGGAAAGGGATAGAATAAATAAAATTTCAAAAATATCCCTTTGTATCGACAAATTCCATAAAAATTCCTGATTTTTAAGAATTTTTAAAGAAAAAAATCCCCTAAAAATTCTATTCCAGGTTTTTCTAGATAGTAAACACCCTGCCAGGGCAAAATCTTACGCCTAATGATAATTTTTTAATAATGTTTAAAAATATTCATAATAATCTCCCTTTTCTTTATTTCAACTGACTCATAATTTATTTATTGACATATAATAGCTTTATGTATGTAATCGATAACATAAAAAGTAGAAAATTAAATATAAATAAAATAAAAAAATCAATTACCTTCAACGAGATAGTATGGTACTTTTCATGCAATTGTATATTTATCGCCTGCAGATTTCTGTTTTCCATTTGTATTTCCGCATTGGCACGACGTACAACTTCGTCAATGTTCGGCGCCTCTTCTGTATAATACGATTTATAATCACTTTAATTATAAAAATGTACGATTTTTTTTGTAACAGTTATATGTATATGTCCATAAAGTTCTTTAGAGATTTTATGGAAAAATTTGAGTCTTACCGTAAATCAAAAGAAGATATATATGACACACACACGCGCGCGCGCAATTTATTCGGTATTACAATATATGTAAATATATTACATTAATTTGAAATCTCAAAAAAATTTTGGATATAACTTACCGCCATCAAATTCTCCTTTAAGCGCAAGAGTGATTTTTTCATTTCTTTGAGATAAACGATCAAACGCCTGTACAACTTTAGACACAGCTCGTTTTGATACCTGTACACGGTTTGCTAATTTGTCATCCAATTCCTCTTTATCCCAGGAAGATAATTGCATTAGAAATGACGTTGTAGCCTCACTCTCGTCTGTAATTAAAAAGAGAAACATTTTGTTGAATTTATCGCAGAAAATATTGTTACATTGCATTTTTTTCCAAAGTTTACTTTTATTTTCAGATTCATCAGCAGTTTCAGCATCGAATCTCTGTAATAATACACGTATATCTTCATTGAGTTGATTCCAATATCGATTGACTACATTAAGTACTGCATCGTCCTGCATTTGGCGTTTCTCTAATTGTTCAATACGTTGTCTCAATTCAGCTTCCATTCTATGCCTTTGCTCCAGTCTCTGGAATAAGTAATCATACATGAAAAAGAATACATACTAAGAGTTATATAATAAAATGTGAACAATTCATATATAAAAGTATAATTTATATTTATCAAATTATTATAGTATACTTTTAAATTTTAGATAATATACAAAAATATATATATAATACGTATGTACAGGATAATAATTGATAATTAAATCTAAATCATTTATTTCATAATGAACAAATAAAATTAATTAAATACTATTCTACAAAAAAATTTAATGTTTATTTTATTGTATATTCTCAGTAAAAAATAATATCAATTTAGTTTCAGCAACTTTCAGCAAATTTGCAATAATAGCAAATGTCATCCCCTGTATAAATTATATTTTTATATATATATATATAATTAATATAATTTTAATAAAATTATTCAACAGTACAGAATTGTGTAACTATTTTTTTATTTATATTATTTTTTATATACAATTATGTGTGCATCATGTTATTACAGCTTAATCCTTATCTTTATCGGCAATTATAAATCAATTTATTAAAAGTAATAAATTGAGTATAAGTACAATGTAAACTTTATATACCTGTGCCAGCTTTTTATTCTGAAACTGTAAGACCTTCATATCCATTTCTTCGAGAGTAGATATGGGTCCAATTAGAATTGGTTCAAACTGCACCTTCTTTATAGGTGGTTGGGAACTGGAGTCCCCATTATCTGGGGGTCGTTTCGACATCTTTGCACTTAGTACTATGTCTGTCAAGTATAAATAGTAACAAATTAATAAGTAATTTATTTAGAACATTGAGATATTTTTATTTAAAGTAAAGCTTATGCTGATTAATGTTTCCTGGTGAATATCGTATATTCTGTGAACAATTATGATACCAGTTTTAAATGGAGCTAGTTCCTACATGTGATGTTATAATACATCATCGTATTTAAATCGATTAAGAAAAGTGCTATATTTACATCAGATTTCGATGTAAATATAATACAATAGTATTAGCTTCAGAAAAAAAAGGTGAGACTTCTACGAGGTTATGTCAATACCAGGGAGAGAGAAGTCCACATAGACGTTGTAGGTGAGTCATCAGTAATGAAAACATTAATGGCCAACACGTGACGAGCACTATTTGAAAAGTATGCGTACAAAAACAAGAAATAAAAACAACCTTATAATACATATACTATCAAAGTCGACGATTCCTAAGATGTCGTCTCGTTTTTTCACGCCTACAATGTATCCAGTGGAAGTAAATTGAAGTAAACGATGCATAATTAGAATGGAATTCGAGATCATACTGAGAAGCGTGGGGGCTATTAATTGACGTTACTGAAATTTTCCAATTTACGAAGTTCCGGAGAATTGAAATAATAGCGTTGGAGCGATGCCGTTATTGATTTCGCGCGCGCGAGCTGGCGTGTGGGCGCGGGTTTACCTTGGTACGAGCGATTAAACTGCTTCCCCTGTCGTTGCTACGTCCACCTCCACGATTATTCGTGCCTCGCTTCCACGACCTCGCTGCTACAACGTCATTCTCCGACAAGCTGTGCCTCGTGTCCTGGATCGGTCGTCCAAAACCTCTGCATCTTTCGCGATTTCATCAACGAAAATCGTGGAGAGTCGTTCAGAAAGCACGCCAGTCCGTTGATCGTCCTGCCAGCCAGGGCAGCCAACAAAAATCACCGTTACGCGATGGCGATTCGGAACGGTTCGGAAAGTAAACGATCGGAAAGCCGAACGCGGTCGATATACATTTCTGTCCGTAGGTAAAGAAAATTATTGCCGTATCGACGCTCATATGATAAATAGAATTTAATTGTGATGACAATTAAGTAAGGTTGATAATATAGAATCTTTCAAAGTTGTTGCGATAGTAATGCAGGTTGCCGTCAAAGTCTCTACGGAAAAGTTAGGTTAAGTTTGCCTTGTTTACAGTGATTTAGGCATTGTGGTATTTGTTATTGACATGTGCGTATGATCTCTCAAAGAAGATTTTCATAATTTGGACTATTTTTTGAGGAAAATTGTCATTTTTCACATTTTAACTGTCTCTTGGGAGGTATTACTGTTATTTTCCTCGTCCGTGATATTAATCGTTAAATATAAACATGAATTCAAAGAAAATAACTCTGTCAAAGAGTATACTGGAAATGAAGGTGAGTTGGGAAAATTTATAGAAAATAGAATATTTCCAGCAAATTATTTCACGTTATTTGTCGTTATTTTGACGTCAAAATGACAAATAACGTCAGTTTGTTCGCTCGGTCGTGGCACGATAATAAGTGGATTTGTTTGCAGTTTATGAAACGGACGAAAGACAAAGTGGAAAAAGAGCAGTTTCAAGAAGAAGGAGAGGAATACTTCGGCAGCGAACTTACATCACGTATGAAAAAAGCATCGTAAGTACTTTCTGTTATTTTTTTCTAAATAGCCTTGTATCTGGATTAATAATTATGTAAATTAAAACAACAATATAAATATTTTGATATTTTGTATCCTGAAATATATATATTTAATGGCAAATTCGATTGGAAGCACTAATGCACATTGGTGCATATTAAATCTGTTATACACTGATTTAATTTGAGTATAAAAATGAAATGCAAATATTTCGGATTATACATATTTCGGAAATACATATTTTACCTAATAGTACAATAAAATGTATAGAGTATTTCATGATTTAATCGTTTTTTATGTTTATTTATAAACATATCTTTACGTTATTTTGTATACGACGGTTTTAATGTGTACCAGTGCGCACTGAGAATTCGCTATAATAAGACTCACATTTTTTCCTGGTGAAAATATCGTTGTGATATCGATGCTTCTATTTTACGTTTAAGTGGAAAATTTCTTATGGAACCAAGTTATGTTTTCTGCGAGAAACTTGATGATGGTAGATTAAGCTTTCAAGGGATGAATCCAACTATAGAAAAGTTAATGGAAGCAAAGGAGAATGTTAAACGAGCCAACGAAGATGTAAAACAAGATACTGATATATCTGATGAACAAATGGCTGTTCAATGGACGAAAATGCGAGCAAAATTTGATACTGCAAACAGACATAGAAAGCCGCAACATATAAAAATAAACGATGAAGACGAACCATTAAGTAAAATACCAAAATTTTTGAAACCTATAGAATGAATTTGCATTGTAAATAATTATATAATAATTAAGCATATAATTTTATTTATATTAAGTAAATATGTTGTACAGTTTATATATTTGACGCATACATAAATTTTTATCTGATAGAACTTAAACTGATTATTATATTACTTTAATATGATCGTTGAAGATTATATAGCTGTTATTTTCAATAATATTTAGTAGTTATCACATTTAAAATACGCAATTTATATTTTTCTTTACAAGTTTCTTTATAGATCTTTCTATATAGATCTTTCAAGATGAAAAGCTCATATGCATTTAATCACATGTAATTTTCTTTGCTACGAAACCTGACGTGGCAAGTAGCTCTCGAAATGTTTCAACGCACACACCACTGGTGCAATCCTTCCGCATTCCTTCCTGCCAAAGTGTATCAAAACTCTCCTCTGGAAATTCGAAACCGATGTTCTCGAATATGCTTCGTATTTCTTCCTTGTCGCGCATCTATATAACAAATTTGTAAATATAAATTAATATTTTCATAATATAACATATAGTAGTGTATAATACAATGGAATAATTAGATACAATAGTATATAAATTAATATTTATAGTTAAGAATTTTGGCGGATTTTTTGTATGAGACAAAATCTTCGGATTTTGTAATTTGATATAATTCATACCGAATTAAGAGTAAAAATATTTAAACAATGGAATAACTAGGATAATACGAGATCAAGCGACCTACTTTGAAAAAATCTATATGTGTCAAACCGTATCTCGTAAATATACTAGGCGATGTCAAGCAATGGACGGAGGTTTGATCGCCCAAGTTCTCGGTGTCTGGATGTAATCCGGCACGCGGTAACATTGTTATCAAAAAATCTGATCTTTCAGATGGAAGTCCTGCCGCACGTACTTCTATAATATTTCTTATAGTTCATATTTCAAACTTATTTTCACTTGGAGAGAAATATTTTTAAGATCGAGAGATATAAAAAGTAAACCTTACTTGTACTATCAGTTGTCTGAATATTTTTTATGCTGTCATTGTACGTAGTACAATCTGGGCTCATCACTGGTACTAAAATAATATTCTTTAATATCATTGCAGTGTTATTATAATTTAAATTAAAAATTAAAATTAGAACTGAAATGCGTTTGAAATTATTAGATTAAAATTAATTATTGTTATTAATTATCATACAAAGATGTATCATTTGTAATTTCTCTAATTCAATTTTGAGAATTTAGAATATTATAAAAATTATTGATTAATCACGTTTAATTGTTGATAGAACGGGTAAACTACGCTTCCAATTCAAGAGATTCAGCATTTCTCTGTAATTAATATTTCCATTTGTGCGCAACTGCAACGTGTCCATTAATGGCACAAGAAACTTCTTGTTTGGATATATGCGATGCTTCTCGAAAATCAGAAAAATCTTATCTTCAGGTAGAGTTCCCACATTTTCCTACATTACAATTTTATGACTATTTCACAATTATAAAAATGTGATTTATGAAATGTGTGATTGTATAATTTTGGTTAATTTGATTAACGATTTATCTAGTATTCCATTTATATTTAAGTACGAATTTATAATAAATTGATATGCATTTTTGTTATACTAATATATAAAATACATAAAATAATTAATAACATATATATGGTACAGTCGGTTACCAAAAGGTTGCAACACTTTTTTCGGGTTTCGGAATGCAGCTTGCTCACCGAGCGATTCATGGATCCACAAATAAGAATCAATCATTTGACGAGTAGGCTGCATTCTGAAATCCATCGAAAAAAAGTGTTGCAACCTTTTAGTAACCGATTGTACGTATACATAGATATATTTAGATATATTAATAAATATATAGAGACATGTGTACTTTGTCCAGACAAGAAAATTCATCCTCTATGTCTAAAAACGGCACTTCCGGTATACGCTTTTTGAGTTTTCGACGGAAATCATTTAAATCTTGCAGACATTGCCACCAGGAAAGCACTTGCTCGTCTGATACATTTAATTCATCTTTGACACTCTTCCTACCGTGTACGGTATCTATATGAAGACGCGATGTTTCTGGATCTCTTAAATTATAAATTAGTAGTTATTTTCCACAAGGAAATTTATCATTTTTACTGTTAATTAATTCAAGTCTATCACTTATGTAGCTAGTATAAAAAAAAGATCATATTTTGTATTGATATAGTTTATTAAAATTATTTGAAGTTTAAATTCAAGTTACGTCGTTTTACAGGTTGACAAAATCTATGTAAATTAAATCTATGTGTTAAATTAATAAGAATAATATAAATGTGTGTGTAAAATTATAGTAATAACATAAAAGTAAGGACCGGTTGTTCCAGATAAACTATGTAGTGATTTACCTATTGGATAAACAAAAGAGTAAAAGAGAGTAAGAGTATAAGAGAGTAAGACAGAGATGAAGTTTACCGATAGGTGGAACAACCTAAGAGATATACAATTATAAAAAATAGTAAAAGAAATAATAAAACTATTGTATTTAAACTTTGTAACAATTAACACATTTGTATTTATCTATGTATTCACATGATAAAAAGGATTTGTTACGTAAGAGATTGGTGAGATTCTTGTCATCTCTCTCGTCATGCTATTATAAATTGTACAATTATCGCAAAATTAACAATTGCTGGTTCAACTGATATTACTTGACTTGTCCGACAAACGATCTAGTGCGTTGTAAGAAATCCGCTTGTCGACCGTTGACTAAGGTAACCGGTTCGTGATCAATCCACGTCAAAATTCTTCTAACTCGAGATTCCGATCCCCGGCTCTTTGGCGGTTTGCCAAATCTAACACATCTATCAAAGGACTTTTTATAACTGTAAAATAATTCCGATCATATAATGACAGCTTAATTTGTCTCAATCTCTGTTGCTTGATCAGCTATAGAGTTTTATTGACATCTTATTAGCATAATGCTTACTCTCTTGTAATTTGTTCTCCCGGTTCATAATGATTATGTGATTTTCGGTACCAAGAACGTGCAGTATCTTCTTGTACCATCGCGCTTTCCTCATGTTCAAGTATCTCTTTCATAGTCAATTCCACAAAAATCCAACTGAAAATTAATTATGATAAAAAGGTTAATTATATCTCATTACGTAACGCGCGCGTGTAATGATTATAATTTTTAAATTAAAATAAAAAATTGGAAATATTAAATAGATGCTATAAATTATTTTTTTCAGCGTACTCATAATAACGTAAATTACGTTATGAATTATGGGATTAAAAACAAAATTATAACGTTTCAGATTACATAAGAAAAAAAGTATCCTACACACAAAAAAATATATAAATGGGGATATTTTGGGAAAATGTTATAAGTTACGATTTCAGAGTATCGATCATGTAACTTTTTCCCTAGGGCGGAAACGTAAAAAATGAAAATTTATTGTATGTATGTGTGTATATATGTTCATACATACATAAAAATTTTCACTTTTTACGTTTCCGCTCTAGAGAAAAAGTTACATGATCGATACCCAGGGTTTGTAATTTTTTAATCTACGAATGGTTACAAATAAAATAGTGAATTATGTTATTAAATTCTTTTTCTTTTAAAGCAGCTTTGCAACTGTTGTAAAATTCTTCTGTTGAATGCAGCCATTTATAGCATCTATTCAATATTTTCAACTTTTTATTTTAATAAAAAAATTTTTAAGAGAAAGTTCCTAACGTAATATTAACTCAATGAAACTCAATTGTTTCTCGATATTTTAGTAAGATTTTCTAGAAGTGTTCTATTGCCTTCCAGAACGATCATCAAATCATGAAATTGTCTATATATATATATATATATATATGTCTCACACAATGCGCGATATCGCGTAACGGAATATGCCTGGTTTTTCAATGGAACGGCAGAAACGGAATATGGCCTAGCGCCCCGGCGACGTAACTTTATACGCGAGGGATATATCGAATGAAGTTGTTCGGTTGGTGCCAGCTTTTTTCCCGCGTGTTAATTCCCCGAGATGGATTTGTGGCGTTTAAAGAGCCGGCGCGGCGTCTTGTTGCGCGCCGATTAATTGCTCCGTTAATTACCTCCGCGCACGCATTACGCAATAACGTAAATAGATACAGTTACATGTTCTTGGGTAATCCCTGGTATTTATCATTCTTTTCTTCTGCGTACATGTATATATGCGCGTGTATGTGTGTGTTGTTTTTCGTTTTATAGTGCATATAATAGCGAGCAGAGCAATACGATTATTTACTCTCAGATAGCCAAATATCCCAAGGAGAACAAGGAAATCAAAGTAATGTCAATTTGACGTCATATTGACGAATTTATGTCATTTTTTGGTAATGATAAAAATCTCGATCTCAGATGATTTAAGAATGACTGTATATAAATGACTTCATATGTATACGGGGTGATCCGAAATTCCCGCATTCGGAGTATAAAGTCATTCTTAGATCATCTGAGATCAAGATTTTTATCATGATAAAAAAATGACATAAATCCGTCAATATGACGTCAAATTGACATTATTTTGATATTTTGTTCTCCTTGGGATATTTGGCTATCTGAGAGTAAATAATCGTATTGCTCTGCTCGCTATTATATGCACTATAAAACGAAAAACAACACACACATACACGCGCATATATACATGTACGCAGAAGAAAAGAATGATAAATATTGTACAAAAATCGACACAAAGATGTACGTTTAATAAAAATATAGAAACGAATTAAAATCGCGAAATCCTCAATATATTTTATTGTGCTATTTGATAAAAAATACATTGGGTATTTTATTAATTGAGATATTTCACTTTTACATTCAGATTAGATTAGTGTACAACAGCTTTAATGTGCACTGAGTGCGCACCAGTTCTGCCAGTGAAAAACGCTAAAATCGAGAGCATTGTGTGATGTATATTACGAGCTTTTCTAGAAAGAAAAAGAGAGAATTAATATAAGTCTCGCGCGACGATAAACATAGCAAGATGCGCTGACAGACGCATAGCGGTGTCTTGATGACAGGTATTGTCTATTAATTTGACGACAGAAAATCATTTAAATGCCGTTACTGCGTGACAAGTAATATTCTTATTATTTATCGTCGCAATTTTGCAGAATTCGTACAATGTGGCGTCGTTGACGACCGCACCGTTATATTCAGGAGAGCAATTCGCGCGCTCGCACTCGCTTGCACCACTTTCAGAGATTTAATGTATTCTTACAGCTGCCACGTCAAGCTCATGATGCAATAATATTGGCTGTTTCGCCTTGTTTTCCAGATAAAATATCGGGTCGTTAATTGCAGTGGCATGTGGCTCGCCTTGAACGAGTCCCGGCTCTTCCCTTTAACAACATCGCGGGATGGCTGGGTATCGAAAATCGCGCCCCGACACGACCGCGAAACTCGATAATATATTTATAAAATCCTCGATTGCTTCGGGCACAAAATCATTTATACCTCATGAAAGTTTGGAGATATTGCGATATCTTACGGCGATTATTTATTATAGTGATCAACATTGTCGAAGTTATGACTACAATTATTCGAATGTAGCGAATTGGAACGTAGTGGAATGAAAAGAATGTTACTTTCAGAGAAAGAATTTAAATATTATTCTAACAAACTATTCAAGATAAATAGTAATATTTAGAAATATTTATATAATCTTTATTAAGTGAAAATGGACCGAAAAATGTTCGACTCAAGTAAGTCAAAAGGGCCATATTTGGTCACGACTGCTCTTACTATATCTATAACAACTCTTATTTTGATGTAAAAATGACATCTTTAATGTCATTTTCACGTCAAAATGACGAAAAATTACGTCAGCTTTCTACCTGGGAATTTTTGTATGAATTTTTATAATTTTCAGTTTAAGTAAACTCCTCGAGGATCGTTTGTCGGTCTTGAAACATAGTCTTTGAGTGCATTTCGTTTCACGCATGATGCGCATGATGTATCATTTATCTTTGTTGTTCACTGAATGTTAAACAAGGATAAATGATGTATTATGCACATTATGCGTGAAACAGAATGCACCCTTAGAACGAAACTGGAGTACGTAATATCACAAATTAAATCGGTAAGCAATTTAATTTATTAATATTACTGATACTAATCTGAGCATCTTTAACTATCTTATTTCACTAATCTTATTTCACGAATGACTGCAATAAAAAAAAATCGATTTTTATAATTCTAAATGAATTGATCACATCCGCATCGGAATGTACAATTAATGACTGATTAAATTTCTCTTTTTGCATTTATTAATTATCCATTCATTATTTTTGCTGTTTTGCGTTACATAAAACAGGTATAAATAAAATAAGCTTAATGTAGCAAGGATATTATATCAAGGAGGTAATATGGATCATAAAGATACAAACTTGTTTCGAATCCATCGTCAGTTACGTACGTTTTGATTTATTCACAATTAAAACAAGTTCAATCATATGTGCTCCTCTCATATTCCCTTAGTATATGATTAAATCCTAATTATATTTAATGCTTGCACCATCGAGCAGCAACTATCACGGCGGCTTATTTCTTTAAAAGGCGGTGCATCATTGCGAAGAAAAACCTTGCGGAATGATGCGGCTGGGTGCGACTAAGAACTCAACGGATGCGTGATACTCTCGGCGTGTTATTTCCACAAAAACGCGCGCTAAGATTACAGACAATTTGCGCGATACATCGGTGATTGGTCGAGTCATGCTCGGGGTGGAAGGGAAATCTCGATACGAATCTCGCGGCACAATGTGACTTTCCTTCCTGGAGAGATCGCTCCCCTATCTCTTTCCGCGCGACTATGGAATCCCATAACGGTCTCCTGGAGAAGCAATTAAAGCTTGATCTATTGATTGGAAAATGATTAGAACGACGAAGCTGACCGGCCACTCCCTTTCTATCACTCGTTAGTCTTCTTGCGAGAGAGGAAACGAAGAGAATTGCTGCTTCGTTGCACACTTTGAGAATTGCAATTCCGCCTCGAAAGGCGAGCGGAAGCTAACGAGATATGACGTGGAGAACATTTTTTCTGTATATTTTATTTTTTTTTGTACGTAACGTAATGAGTACGTATTATAAAATATGATGAGTAAAATGAGAGGTATATTACATTACCTGTATATTTATGTCACTTTATTAGATATTATAAAATAACAAATACATATAATAAAATTTTATAGAAGCAAACCCAAAATAATCAAATTAAGTAACTACAAAATAAGTATAAAGTAAAATACGCATATGAATATAAATCGTGTCCAAACTTAGAATGCTGATCTACTTGGCGTCCACATTTTTTTTATATTGGCGAAGAACTTGCGTCGCCACGAGTTTCATGAGGAGAGAAGGAGAGAAGGACGAAAGCTCGGACATGGCAAGCAGACAGTCTTGTTGTTCATCTTGTACGTGCTAAATATTTAAGTCAGGTTGCCGTCGGCATTAAACGACGAGCAAACATCGCCAATACACCGCGGAAGAAAACGTCGCTCGTTTATCAAGTGCAAACAAGGCACCGTTTGGTCTGCCTTCCTCGTCATCCCTCAGAGTAAGTTGTTATTCAGACGGCTCGGATAAAATCTTCGTAACGTGACGATAATTTAAATTTTAAAAAAATGACTCTGTGATTACTTTGATCCACGTAAATCTAAATATATATTTTTTCTCTTTTAATATATTTTATATATATTTAAATTCGTGTCTCTAATCGTAAAATATAAGTTATAATATTTGTATATGAAAGTGTTAAATTATTAATTCGATTTCTCGGTATTATCTTTTGAGAGAGGATGCCAATTTCGTGGAATAATTATTTATTTATATAACAAAATAAATTTCATATGATATCTGTAGAAGAATGTGAGAGGTGAACGCGCGAATATTTTATCTATCAAAAGATTCGTTGGTACGTGTACAGATTAATCTCTTTGCTATCAGATATTTTTGCGAAGGTACGCGAACAAATTAGAGAAATGGTTGGAAAGGTGAGAACAATCCTATCTGAAGAAATCGTATCTGTGAATGTACACAACGAGAAAAAGCCCGAGATCTCGGCCAAGAGGAACTCGATATCTCATCCAGCTGTGCGGCTGCGAGGATTTTT